GTGGTAGCACATGCCTGTAATTCCGGCTATTCGGAAGGCTGAGGTGGAAGGATCGCTGGAGCCCAGCAGGCGAGGCTGCGGTGACCAGGAGCGGCCGCTGCACTCCAGTCTGGGCAACAGAGTGAGACTCCTACTCAAAACAAAAAAAAGAAAATGAAAATGAAGTCTCAGATGCTTTAACACAGCACTTAACATGGCCATCCCACTGCATCACTCCTGCCTCTCTGGTGATTCTCAGTACTGGCTGCACTTCAGAAGCACCGGCCAACCCCGAGCCCCATGGGTAGAGCTTGGAGTTTTGAAAAAGTCAGACAAGTGATGCTGAAGCACACCAGGGTGAAGAACCTCTGTTTTGCCTGAGGTTTTCCAAGCTGGTCCCAATCTTTTTGTTTTTTGAGTCAGGGGCTTACTCTGTCACCCAGGCTGGTGTACAGTGGCATGATCATGGCTCACCACAGCCTCAACCTCTGGGCTCAGGCAATCCTTCCACCTCAGGCTCCTGAATAGCTGGGACTACAGGCACATGCCACCACACCAGGGCAATTTTTAAATTTTTTTATAGAGACAAGGTCTTGAACTCCTGGGCTCAAGAGATCCTCCTGCCTCAGCCTCCCAAAGTGCTAACATAAACCTCAGTGCTCCATAGTTCCATTCTTTTTAATCTTCATGCCTTTGCTTACGTTTTCCATTCAGTCTAGAATTTGCTGTCTTTTTTAACTTGCCAGTCATTTAAGGACCAGATGAAATATCCTGTCCTTCAGGAAGGCCAATCCAGCCATCTCAGCTTTTCCTGGTTAAGCACTCACTCAAGTTTATCACTTTTTACCTCTACTTCAAACACTTGAATCAATTACACTTACCAATAACTGCTCAAGGCAGTCCCTAGCTACTCTAGTTTAGGTTCCCAGAAGGCAAGAGCTGTATTGTTCATCTTTATATCCCCCAAGGTGCACACTGTATATCTCCTCATACTCGAAACACTCAATTAATGTCTGCAGAATTGACATGCTTTTCAAATCAAATGCTGAAGATTTCCAGCAGCACTCAACCTGACCCGCTGCTGTTCTTTCAGGGCTAGACAGCATTGGTGGTGGTGGTCGTGTAATCTTCGCTGCACTCTGAAATTCACTAGCTACCCTTTACATAAACCCAGCTAGAACCCAGCGAGGACTGCTCATCATATTCTAAGACGACATCAGTTTACCAGGGACAGACTTTGGAACTATTTTTCTAGTAGATCATGTAGTTATTACCTGACGCCTAATATTGTCTTAGTGAAAAATATTTTGTTTATGGAAATCCCTTCACCATTAGCTAAGAAATAAAAAAATATATATCTACTGCATGTAGATCCTGTTATTGACAAAGGTCAATTCAAATGTAAAAATTATCCTTTAACCCAATCCTAGGAAATATATTATTTAGTTAACATATATCTGGCACTACCAGAAATAAATATAATAGTACTTAATATATCATTTATTTTCTTTTTGGAAAAAGCTTTCTTTAAATTTTTAAAAATTGGGGATTTAAGATTTTAACCAATATAAAATATGTACCTTTACCATATCTGTTTTCTAGGAATTGAATCAAAAATTCCCATAAGAATTCCCATGAGCAGTGAATGAGTTTCAAAAAGGGGCCAAGAAAGGGGGACTTGATGTCCATCTGCCCAGAAGTTTGACTCTTTTACTTTGATCTTGGGAAAACAGGCAACTAAAATGACTGTCTTAGTAGTTAGACTAAGGTTAAACTGTTTGTATAAATATTTTAGAAATTGGGACAGTGTTCTCAATAAATTAGTATGCTTTTCTTGAGACAGGGTCTTACTCTGTTTCCCAGGCTAGAGTACAGTGTGGCATGATTCCCACTTACTGCAGCCTTGACCTCCTGGGCTTAAAAGATCCTCCTGCCTTGGCCTCCCCCCTTGTAGCTGGGACTACAGGCATGAGCCACCACAGATTTTCTGTATTTTTTGTAGAGACAAGGTCTCACTATGTTACTCAGACTGGGCTTAAACTCCAGGGCTCAAGTGATTTTCCCACCTCGGCCTCCCAAAGTACTGGGATTACAGGGTTACAGGGGTAAACCACCATGCCGGCCTAGTATGCATTATTTACACATGAAACCTGGACCAAGGAAAGACATACATACCCGCTGGGCTCTTGCAGCAAATCTACTGCTTCTCTCAGTTGCTCAATCATCTCTATATCCATGTCCTGATCTTGGGATGAACTTATTCTGTAACATAAAACCAAGCATGAGAATGAAAACAATCACTAAAACATAAATATCATCTAAGTTCTTAAAAGCAAACTTACAAAAAAAAATCCATGCAACATGCAAAATGATTTGGACAAATTCAACATCATAATGAAGATATGTCCGTACCCTGTGGGGTGAGATGCCAGAATGTGGTGCGAAGAGCCCAAGTGGGGGAAGCCCAGGTCTGTCGCAAAGCAGTTTGGGGGAGATCTCGATACCCGTGAACCCTCAACTGTCCTGTACGCAATCAGGCAGTGAACTAAATGAGAGGGTCTTGTGGTAGACTTTCCCGAACTCTAGAGAGCCTCACAAAGAGGCTCCACAGGGTGAGTCTGTACTGCTTCTGAACCTCCCAACCTCAGTTCCACCATTGTGGGTAAGTTGTACTACTTTCATACAGCATGGGGCTTCAGTGTAGGACAGAAGTTTTTCATCTAGGCTCCATAAACCGCAAAAGTATCTGTGGAGCTTAAAAGCCATACTGGGTAGATACTCTCAAGTAGGTCTGAATAGGGATTGAGCATTTTATAAAGCTCTACAGATGATCCCTACTTACAGTCAGGGTTGAGAACATCAAACATAAAATTGAGGATGGCGTTTCCAAAGCTCTCTATAGTTTTAAAACAACTCTCTCTTTTTCTATGCTTCAGTGATGCTACAAATCAAGTTAGGGCTCCTTGGCTTCCCAGAAGTATATCCAGCGAGTAGCTGGTAATACAGACAGTGATTGGAGAGAAACTTTAAATGTTTTTAAAGGGCAAGAGAGGTTTGACCATGGTTAGCCCTTCCTGCTTCCGAATGTAAGCCAATTACCTCTGCAAGTAGAGAAAATTTTTTTAACTATGTAATAAATCCTCACTAAGAGGAAAAATCCTACAACATATGATGGATGGTCCATGCTACATCCCAGATCATCAAAATTAAAATCCTGAGAATAAAAAATCCACTCTAAGCCACGTGGTCCAAACTCAATTCCCCTGGAAATGGTTTATCATCTGATGAGATCACTCATTCCCTCCCTCATAAATCTTGCCAAATAAATCTTACTGACAGTAGAGCAGAAGGAATATTAATCTGGTATGAGATTTCCTAGGTTCAAATGCTGGCCCTCCTTTACCCTGGGACAAGATAATCAATCTCTCTGTGCCTCAGTTTTGTCATCTGTGAAATGGGAAACAATAACAGAACTTACCTCTTAGGACTGTTGTAAAGATGAAATGAGTAATGGCCTGTGAAGTATTTAGAACATTGCCTGGTGCACGGTATTTAATAAGTCTTAGCTATGACAGTTATTAGACTTGGGAACTAAGGCGTAAGAGGTATATGATTTTCTCAGTTCTTGAACCAGAAGACCTGAGTAAAGGAGACCAGCACTACAGATCACTTTTAGTCTAGTCATTGGTTTCTTCAAGCAAATGGAAGGAAGGAAGAATCTCTAGTCTAGAAATTCTAACTAATTCTCTAAATCACATCCACACCCACAGCTTCAAATCAGACAAAATTCAAGGCTAAGAAAGAGGTACAACCTTTCACTGTATTGCCCAATTCTATGGCAATACGCATCAGAGAGAGGAAAATTGGCAACTTCTCATCAGGTAACACTATCAGCTTGCCTAAAGAAAAGCAGATCAAAATTCTATCACGGCGGGGCTGCCAATCTGCTTGGAAAGTGAACTATACAGGGATGGTGGCTTGTAACCAGGCCCTCAGCACTCACATGCCCTCCGTTTGCCAGTGTGTATCCTCTTCTATTCGTAACAGCTCATCACAGTCTTCTGACCTCGCCTGTGGACAGAACACATAGGTTTCCTGAGAACCACTGGTTACTCAGTCATCAGGAGTCAAAACCTGCCCCAGCCCACCCACATTTACAGCAGCATTATTCCCAATAGCCAAAAGGTAAACAAGCCAGATATTCATCAATTTATGAATGGACAGACAAAATATGGTACATACATACAATGAAATATTATTCAGTTTTAAATAGGAGACAATTCTCACATATGCTATACACATGAGTGAACCTTGACGACAGTATGCTAAGCAAAATAACCCAGTCACAAAAAAGACAAATACTGTATGATTCTAATTATATGAGGTACTCAGAGTAGTCAAAGTCTAGGACAGAAAGCAGAATGAGGGTGCCAGGGGCTGGTGGGGGTGGGAGGGGATTAGGGAGTTGTTTCATGGGTACAGAAATGGGTGGTTTTGCAAGATGAGAAGAGTTCTGGAGATTGGTTGCACAACAATGTAATGTAGTTAACATACTAGACTGCATTTAAAAATAGCTAAGATGGTACATTTTCTGTTATATGTGTTTTAATTTAAAAATTAAAACAGAAACAACTTGGCCTGGGACCACAGCATCTGTTAATTTATCATCAGAAATGTAAAGCTTAACTGGATTTCTTATTGCCCTCTTGGCACCTCCTTGTGTTGACAGAGCTCTCCCTTGAGCCTGTGAGTCACTATGAGTACACATTCTAGTGTTTGTGAGAGGAAGTATGTGTGTTGTGTGAATGTGTATGTTGAGAACAAAAAAAGAACATCTGAAGTACTGAATAGAAAAATGCCTTGAATTTGCATCTTATAGTTTTCATGTGCTCAACATCTGGAATTCACTTAAATCTGCACCCCACACTCCCACCTCATTTTTTTCCCAAAGAGACGCTGCAGTGGGAGTGAATATTTAGAGAGCGGTTCCCACCATGGGACGGTTGCATGTTTCCTTGCGCTTTCTCTCTGACACACAGAAACACTACTTAAACTCAGACAGTTAGAACAGAATAGAAGCCAACCTTTCCCTGGCAAGGAAGAAACAACAAAAGGACTGTTTTCTGTGTCAAGGTTCTTGTATGTCATTAACTCAAGACCAGCTAAATCCCCAGATGTATCATTAGGATGAGACTTTTCCTGAGGAGGTGGCTAGCTGTCCAGTGCTGGCCTCTGGCTCAAAAAATATTACTCAGATGTTTTCTATACTGATTATACTCTTAGTGTGCAATAAAGTCAACATATAAATTACTGTGCCTCTCTTCAAGTGAGAATGATATCCATGGATGAAAATATACTACCTGAAATGACCAAGACAACATGTTCTTATGTCTTCTTATTGGATTTCAATGCCAGGAATCATGGGTATTTCCTCTTAATTTTCAGTTTCAAAACAAAAGGGTAGTCAGTAGTATAAAATGTTTAATTTTTTCAGTATGCAAAATAGGCTTGCTGGGTTTCTTTTGCTAAGTTAGATGGTCATACAGTTGATCTTCATTATTTGTGGATTCTGTATTTGAGAATTTTTTTTTTTTTTTTTGAGTTGGAGTCTCACTCAGTCACCCAGACTGG